ACGCTACAGAAAACAGTATGATGCTTCCTCAAAAAATTACAAATAGAATTACCATATGATAAAACAATTCTGCTGCTGGGCATATACCCAAAAGAATTGAAAGCAGGGGCTCAAACAGACACGCGTACACCCACGTTCATAGCAGCGTTATTCACAACAGCCAACAGGTAGAATCAACCTATGGGTCCATCAATGGATGAATAAACAAAACGCGGCATACATATGGAATGGAATATTATTCAGCCTTTAAAAAGAAGGAAATTAAGTTGGGCATGGTGGCTTTTACCTATGATCCCAGCACTTTGGGAGGCTGAGGCTGGTGGACCACTTGAGGTTAGGAGTTCGAGACCAGCCTGGCCAACATGGTGAAACCCCATCTCTACTGAAAATACAAAAATTAGCAGGGTGCGGTGGCAGGCCACTGTAATCCCAGCTACCTGGGAGGCTGAGGCAGGAGAATCGCTTGACTTTGGGAGGCTAAGGTTGCAGTTTGCTGAGTTTGCGCCACTGCACTTCAGCCTGGACAGCAGAGGAAGACTCCGTCTCAGAAAAAAAAAAAAAGGAAATTCTGATACACATTACAATATGGATGAAGGTCAAAGACATATTAAGTGGCATGAGCCAGTCACAAAAGAACAAATACTGTATGATTCCACTTATATGAGGTACTTAGAGTAGTCAAATTCCCAGAGACCAAAAGCAGAAAGACGTTTGCCAGAGACTGGAAGGAGAGAGTAATTGGGAATGTTTAATCGGTACAGAGTTTCAGTTTTGCAAGATGAAATAGTTTTGGAGAAGGATGGTTTCACAACACTGTGAATGTACTTAGTGCTACACTTAAAGATGGTTAAAATGGTAAATTTTAGGTTATATATATTTTGCCACAATTTTAGAAAATTTTTAAAAAAACTAAACAAACCTACACATTTGTGCTGTTGTCATTCTGTTGCTTACTTAATATCTTATAGGCTGGATGCCTGAACACACTGACTTTGGTAAACTATCTTACTTCAGTTTAATTATGCTAAGTAAGGCAGAAGGAGAGCAGTTGACTTGCCACCAACAGGCTGGAAGGTCGCTGACAAAGGTCCACACAGAACCCTAGTGACTGGCTCCTGGCTTTGTGCAAAAGCCCCCGAGGCTTTGCCACTTCCCCGTGAATTCGTCACTGTAAGCCTGAGAAAGCCGATAGACACTGGGAAGGGGGCTGAGCTGGTTGCTTTGCCAATCATGGACCAGTCCCAGAGAGAAGACACCTGTGATGTGACTTGGCCATTGTGTCTCCTCCATAGTGCTGAGCTCCTGCACTTCCATGCTTATTAAAAGTTACAATTCTGGAGATGAAACAGGGATATACTCATCTGGTTGTAATTCAGGACAGAGAAAAAAGCCTCACCTTCACCCTACCCAGCAAGCCTCCTCCCGCCTTCTTTCTCCACCCAAGAAACGCAACAAACCACTCTGTCAGGGAATTATTTCCTCCCCGTGACCATTCTCTAATGAAGGGCAGGTGTGCGTGCAGCCCATGGAGAATACGAGAGGATGGGGCGCCAGCAGGGGTGAAGAATTTCCTGAGAAATTCAAGCCCTTAAATCGCTTCTCTTCCATTAGCCAAAGAAAGTTTTTGGTTAGAGCTGGAGGTTGGCAAAGTTTTTCTGTAAAGGGCCAGCTATTAAATATTTTAGACTTTGTAGTCCCCCTGACAAGTATTCAATTTTGCTCTTGAAAAATGGCATAAATAATATGTAAAAAAAGAATGTTTGTGTTTCAATAAAACTTTATTTATGGACACTAAAATTTGAATTTCACTATAATTTTCATGTGCCTCAAAATATTATTTTTTAATTTTTCTAAATCATTAAGAAATGTGAAAACAATTCTTAGCTTGCAGGTCATACAATAAAGCAGGTGGTAGGCCAGATTTGGGGACTATGGACTGTTGTTTGTTCACCTCTGGTTTAAATATTTATAATCTACCTACTTTTAAAAAATTAATGTAGCTCACATGTTCCTGGGAGGAAAGGCAATATTTACGGATAACTTGTTTAACACAATTTAGCATAGCATGATGGTGAAGAGCATTGCTTCTGGGAGCAGATGGTTGGGTTTAAATTCCAGCCCTGCTACTCACAAGCTGTGTGACGTTAAGTAAATTACTTAAACTCTCTGAACCTGTGTCTCCTCAGCTGCAAACAAGCTGACTCCAACAAAATCTACCCAACAGAGTTGTATGGATTAAACGAAATAGTATGTGTTGAGTGCTTAGACCGTTGCCTGGTGCCTTGTAAATGTTAGATGTTATTTGCTATATGACAGCATTATCACATTTAATCCTGCCAAATGAATATTATCACCATGTGATAAATACAAATAATACATTTCAAGTCATTTAGGCAGCTTGCTTGTTGGGAGTCAGAAAACACTACCCAGAGCCCTCTTGAGCTGAAGGAGATTGAGAGGGCCTAGGAAGCAAGCTCACTCCGACCTTCCACCACATTTCTGACCTTCCACCACATTTCTGTGCGAGAGCCAAATATAAAGGAATTCTCTGTCTTACCTTTCCTGCAAGTAGATCACAAGACCCTCATGTGAGCGATGACCTGCTCCATACCCGGAGGAAAGAAATGCTGCACAGAGAGGCCAAGAAGCGTCTGAACAAATAGGCCTCTCTGAGTAACACGCCCCCCACACACAATTTATTACCATTAGGCCCTGCCCCTTTCTGTTGTCCAATCACATTTCTTCACACTTCTTTCATCAGATTTACCATAAAAATACAAAGTTTTCCCTGGATCTTTGGGTTTTTTTTATTTCTGAAGCCTCCTGAGTCAGAAAAAACTTTTAAAATAAATTCGTTACACTTTTCTCTTGTTAATGTCTTTTATTATAGGAGTGTCCACCATGTCCCTCGCAGTAAGTGAAAACAAGTTGTTATTTTTTCTCCCCTCTGTGCTCAAGCTTCAAACAGAAGGATGGTTCTAACACAGCCTATCTGCTGGGGTCCAGGCTCTTTCCTTCCATTCAAACCAGGCTGCCTCACTGCTCCTGTTAAGACTATTTCGGTAGCTTTTCACGCTGTTAATCACGTATTTGCTGACAAATCTCCTTTCTCTTTTGGTTCCATGATTCTTATTCTGTTAGGTCTTCTCTTCTGTTCCCTTCAAGAGTTCCGCTTCCTCTATCTCCAAAACTTCCCATTGCTGAAGTCCAGAATGTCTACTTTTTTGTCCTCTGCAACATTCCTCTAGTGTCTCCTGCAGCTTTGATGATAAACAATCACCTTTTGCAAATGTGTCCCACAGCTCCACGTCTCCAAGTGCTGCACAGTTAGATGCTTCTAGAGGGCAACGTGCTAGACGGACTGCGACATCGAGCTGACCTGGCTTCACATCTCAGCACTGCCTCTCATTTACTGGGGGATATTGGGAGAATTGTGTAACCTCTCTGAGTCTTGGTTTAGATATCAGTAAAATTGTGATAATAATAAGAACCCCCAACTAAGGTTGTTATAAAGTGAAACGATGGACATAATGCAAACAGGAGGTTTATTCATTCATTCCTTTATTTATTTTCTCAGCAAGCATCTATGGTGCCCCTCCTATGTCCCTCGAAGTGCATACTCAGTGGTAGATGATGTTGCAAAAGCCCTGAGTTTTTTCACCTCAACACATCTTCTAAATGTGCACTTCTCTATTTTTGCCTTTTGCTCATCTTCCAGTCTTCTAGGTTCTTGGTAATGCTACCTTCTCTCAGTCCTGTATTCCAACCATCAAGTCTTGCTCGACTTGCTCATGTTTTTCTTTCTTTTTCCCACGGTTACCATCCTAGGACCAAGCCCAGGTCAGCACAAACCTGGATCCTTCTTTCATGCCAATCCTCAAGTTTTGACTTCCTTTCAGTTGGAAATTGGCATCCAGGGAAGTATTTGAATAGGGAAGGAAAAGGATCAAAGTGGTGCTTTTGGAAGTTTAATTTGTGCTCCACATGAGTTGGAGTGGGAAGTGGCCAGCGGCAAGGAGACAGGTAAAAAGTTTTAACAATTTAAATATAAATTGATAAAGACTTAAAGTAAGGTGATGCTTTTAGGCATAGAACGGAGAAAGAGGAGGCAGCAAGAGGCATTTTGAAGGAACCTGTGTGGGAGTGAATTAGGTTTGGGGTCTGAAGATAACTCCTCCATTTAGAGTCTTGGTAGCTAGGAGACTAATGATACCTTTTTCACAACTTCGGTAACACTTTGTGCTCCTCACATGTGTCTTTTCACCTACCATCTGGTGTAGGTTATTTCTTTTTCGTGAATCATTGTCTTTCTCTACAAATTGGTTATGAACTCCATAAAGCAAGGTCTATGTGTGTCCTAGTCTATTTTCTATTGCCTGTAACAGAATACTTAAAACTGGGCAATTTATGAAGAAAAGAAATTTATTTCTTACAGCTATGGAGGCTAAGTCCAAGATCAGGGGACCACATCTAGTGAGGAGCTTCTTGCTGAGTGGGGGACCCTGCAGAGTCCTGAGATGGTGCTGGACATTACATGGCAAGGGGGCTGAGTGCTAGCTCAGGTCTCTCCTCCTCTTTCATAAAGCCACCAGTCCCACTCCCATGATAACCCATTTATCCACGAATCCACTAACCCATTAATTCATGAATGGATTAATTCATTCATAAGGGTAGGATCCTCATGGCCCAATCACCTCTTAAAGCCCCCACCCCTCAACGGCCCTACATTGGAGTCTAAATTTCAACGTGAGTTTTGGAGGAGACAAATATTTAAACCATAAGAATGTCCCATCATGCTTTCCTTTTTATTTCAAAATCTGCTTACAATGAGTCTAGGCAGTGCTAATAAGTGTTGCTAATTGGTTCATTCTTGTGAGTACTTTGATGATGTTGCAGGAATGGAAGTTGGAGTAGCAAATTTTTTCCCCAGAGAATTAGAGGTATGTCAGTATTATTAGCTTATTGCTAAACTAAGTCTATTCTGTAAAGAAACATAAACATTCAGATTATGCACAAAATTTATTTCCATTAGTGAAATATAACCCCCATGAAAGCTCCCACACAATCTCAGTAGGCTGGTGGTACAGTGCCTTGGAAAGAGAAATCAGGAGTGACATTCAAGAGCCAGCGACCCCAGAAAACTCTTTATCTTGATGGAAAGGGCTACTTGTTTTCTGTCTCCTCATCCTCGCATGTACATTCCATCTGCCTAATGCTTTCCTCTCTTAATTGAAAAACAAACAGACATGACACACACAAAAAAGCATTTCTTGCCCCACTTCTTAGAAAGCAAGGTCAACTTATGCCGCATTTAGGCTGTGTAGTAGGTGCAGTCATATGTTTTTGTGATTTCTTGAAGCACAGCTTTTAAACAGTGTGGCGTAGATGTGAAGTCCTGCAGACAGCAGCTGCAGGCAGAGTGGGCTGGTATGCAGCAGGGGAATGCATGAGAGGGCTTTCTGAGCAATCTTTGAGCAGATGGCGAGTCTAGGCATCCGGGTGCAAATCACTCCAGTCACATCTGAAAACCAAACAAGAATTCTTTAGAACTGTGACGTCTGGACAGTGTTATTCATTCTATGGTGATATCAGAGAAAGGGCTTCACATCTTTCTTTCTGAATAGACCCCCCTCCAAAAAAAAAAAAAAAAACCTAGAGCAATAGCAAGCATCAAGAAGTCCAAGGCTAAGCAAAATGAGTAACATTGGCTGGAGGCTGGGATCCTAGAAAAGGAAAGGCAAAAGACTACAAAAATGAAGAAGTGCTCATTAAGCTGAGGAATACGTCCAGGGATAGAGTTGGGAAAAATCACAGAACAGATAACAGAGTGGTTAGGGAAATGATTTTAGACTTGTTAGCATCTCTCCTGTTATCTTGGATTGGTCAATTCAATACACAGAAAATAAAGGACTTCCTAGAATGATGTAACAGAAAGATCAGTAACTCTCTTAACAGACGGGCTTAGGTTTAAACCTCACACTCTGTGAGTGATCTTGGCGAGTCACTTCACTTTATTGAGCCTGGGACTCTTCACCTATGAAAGAGGTAGGACGATATCTACTCCTAGGGTGTTATGAGGATTAAATGAGATAATGTATGAGAAGCTCAGTTCAGCCCAGCATGGCTTGGTAAACAGGGGACATTCAATAAGTATGTGCTCTTTTTCTCTCTTCCCTCTTCTCCTTTTCTCATAGGAGACAGGGTTCACATAGACCTATAAAGGCAGAATTCTTTCACAGGCTGCCCTTAGGCAGAGAGAACAGAGCTTGGTCGAGAACTGTGAAGGGTTTGAAACTTTATACTACTTGTAAGCTCACAAGATAACCTGACGGATTCATGGATGCTGGCAGAAGACACAATATTCCTGGGTCAGAGACAATGGACTTTACTCTCAGCACAGCAAGCAATATGAGTATTAGCATATTTGCTTTGACCCTCCAAGCCCCAATTCCCACAGAACAATGTGAAGAGAGCCAGGTGATACCTGCACACACTGTGGGGTGGCTTATGAGAGAGAAGCCCTGAGTATAGAAAACCCAAATCTTGCATAATGGACCCTAAGTGCACCTGCCCTGTGCTCCAGCCCAGCTCCGTTTTTCCATGTATGTTTCCACTATGGAAACACCCTTAAAAAGAGAGCCCAGCACAAGGACTGTCAGCACCTGCCAGATGTAAAAATGTAAGACACATGGAAAATTGTCTCCCAAAAGGCATAACAGAAATAATCCCTTTCCTTCCTGTCCTCTTACCAGATTCATTAGCCGTGGCAGGCTTTCTGCACAACATTACTTTTCCCTGTGAACATGCAGTCTCACACATCCCACACCCTCCATATTTCCCTCTTTATCTCTTCTCCCATTAACGTAAGCACTCAAGCACCCCATCAAGAACTTTCTATCCCCATTTTGACCTTTTTAGAGAAGTGCCAGAGCCCACAGTTGGGGAGGCTGCTGGCCTGACCAAAGGACATGGCTTTTCTCTGGGAATCTCGTTTAAAGTTTTATGAAAAACATAAGAAGAGGGGAATAAGGGAGGAGGTCAAGGGAGAGAATGAGACATCTCTCCTTAACTCTCTGCACTTGGGGAACATTTGATCCCAGCTTGGAGGTGAAAATGGAGCCAAACTGGTGTCACTGAAATGAAGCAGGAAGTGTTCTGAGTCTCAGATATCTCCCTTCAGGTGCACGGGCCCAGAGCCAGCTGGATGTTTGGAGAGAGCAAGAGGCCACCTACATGGAGCTATTTGAGTGACACCAAAACATCTTCCTGCACCTGATATTTCCATTATGGTCTCTTCTCCAGCAAAGGCATGATCTAAAAAGGACACTGGTCCAATATAAACATGCCATCTGGGAGAAACAATTTCCACTATTTATAAATGCTTCCAGAGGTGGCCCATTCATTTAATGCCCTTATTTTAGTACCAGCTACGTGCTAGACATTGTGTTAGCCACTGGGCTTCAAGGGGGATCAACCATACGTCTTGCACTCAGGCATTCGTAATAAGAATCAGGAATTATACTGGGAATTAGGCTGCAACTGACAAGTTTTATGACAAGTGAATTGAGTGAATGACATGCGAACATAGACAAGGGACATTTAATCTTATATTGAAAGATCAAGAGATGTCTTTCAGGGGAAGCTAAATGTAAACTGAGACCCTGTATGTTGAGTCTTTCTTAGCTGTATTTTAGAGGTGAAGAAATGGAAGTTTAAAAAGTCTAAATGTCTTACCCAATGTTATATGGCCTGGGAGTGACAAAGCCAAGACTCAAACATACTATATTTTAATATTGGTTTTATCATGGGTTTTCCCATAGGTATTAACACATTGGTTTATCTAGGCAGCTAGGGCCTTAGGAGACAAGACCTCTGAGAGAGGAGTCCTAGTGGTGATGGGAGGTGCAGGAGTGTGGCGAGGGTTGAGGTGAAGATGATTGTGTGGGGTGAGGGTCGAGACAGGGTGATGCAGCTTGGGAAAGTCTTCCCAGGGATGGGGTGCTGGTGTAATGAGGGATTTTCGAGGAGCAATCGATGAGACCTGAAGACAATGGAGAGTGTGAAGGTTCTTAGGGAGAAAAAAAGAGGAAGAAAGAGGGTGGGGAGAGGAGGAGGAAGAGGTAGGAAAGGAAAAGAAGATGAGGAGGAAGAGGAGGTAGAGGAAAAGGAGAAGGGGGAAAAGGAGAAGGGGAAAAAGGAAAGGAAAAGGATAATTATTTAAGAATGAGATCATATCTTTTGCAGGAACATGGATGGTGCTGGAGGCTATTATTCCTTAGCAAACTAACACAGCAAAAGAAAACCAAATACTGCATGTTCTCACTTATAACTGGGAGCTAAATTCATGATGAGAACTCATGAAAACAAAGAAGGGAACAACAGATATTGGGGCCTGCTTGAGTGGGGAGGGTGGGTGGAGGGAGAGGAGTAGAACTGTACCCAATAACGATTGAGTACAATGCTTATTACCTGGATTATGAGTCTGTACAAAAAAACTCCTGTGACATGAGTTCACCTATATAACAAACCTGCATATGTGCCCCAAATCTAATACAAAAGTTAAAAAAAAGGATAATTATTTAAGGAGAAGTTGTGATAGAAAATTTGATGTGAGCAGCAAAATCTAACTTTCTCTGTTTTATAAATGTATCCAGTGCTACATGAGTTAGTCATAGCCACTATTCCAGGAAGCAGGAGGCCAACACCTTCTCTGTCAAGAGGGAGAATTCAATCAGAGCTGCCACACAAAGCCCAGTGCTGATCGGGTTCTTCACAGGAGCCTGAATTAGTAGTTCTTCCAGTCCTTTCACACACTACTACCCCACCCCATCTTGTCAAGCTTTGCTCTTGTTCTAGAGGGAATTGAAGAAACAGGTGATAAGAATCAGCTTCCCCACTCTACTTTGACCCTACAGGCGCCTGCAGTTTCCTAGGACTGACTTTAGCATTTGGAATGAGCATAGTGTCCTGTAGAGTGCAGGGTCAGTGCATTTCTGAAATAACAACCAAAAAAAAAAAAAAAAAAAAAAGTAAAAAGTGTTTTGAGTTGGACCAGGGCTTATATCATATGCTATGGTTCAAAGCTTTCCTCCTAGTCTTAGGGCCAAGCCAAACTCATTTGGGTTTCGAATATCACCATTTAGCAGTCCATTGGCCTGGGCCTCCTTCTCTTGACTGAACTCTCATCCAACCTAGGCAACATTTGGATTTAATTTGGTAGAAAATGTGGGTGAGTTGCTTGCCAAATTCTTATGAATCTGTGTCAAACTCAGTGATTTAGGCTAAGATTTGGGGTGTGGCTGAGTCCCCGGAGGAATTCTGTGGTTGCATAATCCACAGAAAGTGAAGCAAAGGGTATTTTCAAAACTATTTCCAAGGAAGTGGACTCTGTAGAATCTCAGTTTATGGAGATTAAAATTTTGGAGACTTCACTACAGAATTTAAGTATTTTCACAATATGTAATGGTCTTTTAGGGATGTTTAACCATCTGTTCATTTTTCTCCCCCATCACTCCATCATATAGGTTATTATCCATTTGAACCAAAGTAAGCCAGTACACAGGAATGATGCATTACTTAACTCAAGGTCAAGAGGTAAGAAAATGACTGGACTAGGCTATAGGCCTGGCTCAATGAATTCTGTTGTACAGAGGCTACCAAAACCTTGATCTCTGACCCCTTCAAAAACTGTAATTTTTTTTTCTTTCATTACAAGACAGGTTACTACAGTGACAACATACAAGCCACAATAAATATAGGGTATTGAGACTGTTCCCTGGGAAATTGACTCTGAGGTGGAGATTTGCATTCAGGGAGTTATTAGGAGTGCTCTCAGGGATGATACGTACGAGAGAGTGAAGGAAGCAGGACTGGGCAAAGGGAGAAGCTGGACAGTGGGGCATGTACAAGAGAGGGCTACCCAGATCCCTTGGGACACTCTGGAGCTCTGATAGCCGTTCACACAGTTGTCTAACATTGTGGCAAAGGGTCTGGACAGACATTAGTTAAGAGCTACCTCTGGAGAGTAGACATGACCTTGGACTAGGAAGTTCTCTTTGGCAGCGAGCAATTTTCATGGAAGGCTCAGCTGTGTGAGGTTAGCAGCCAATATTCCTGGCAGCTGGAGTGCCTTGGTCCTCAAGGAGGTGGTGCCCCCACAGCATCCACTACAGGAAGGGAAATAGAATTGTACATTGAAAACCCAGAGTACCGTGGCCAGTTTCATAGAGGTCATGTCCATAGTGATGTGAAATTGCTCATAGGAGCTAGAATGTGGCCTAGAGATATCGAAGGCTCCAGAGACTAAAGAGAAAAAGACCCAGAAAATGCTAAGGGTGTGTAGGAGTAAACAACTATGGCTTTTGCATTTTCATACAGGGGGTAAAATCAGGTTTGATAGAGTAAAAGATAATGGGGGAAGAGAAGATGTCAAAGAAGAAATCAAGGACAGACAAAAAAGTCTGCAAGGGAAAAGGAATGTGATTTAGCTAAGATGAGTGTGGAAACTTCCAGAACAAATTG